AGCAACACTATGTAAAACAGAACGAAACACTGCCCGGTCCTGCACCATCCTCACAATTGTTGTTATGCCCACTGTTGCAGCCACTATGTCAGTCCATCTCGTTGAGGGTGTTCTTCTTTTCGCTGACCTTCTACTTTACTAAGCATGATTTCCTTCACAAGGACTAGTCCCTCCTGATAACACATCCAAAGTATGCGAGACAAAGTCTCACTTGCCACCCTTGCTTCTAAGGATCATTCTGGCTGACTTCTTCCAAGAGAGGTTTGTTCGTTTTTCTGGCAGTTCATGGTATATTCACTATTCTTCGCCAACACCATAATTTAAAGGCATCAATTTTTCTTCTGTCTTCCTTATTCATTGTCCAGCTTTCACATGCATATGAGGTGATTGAAAACACCATGGATTGGGTCAAGTGCATCTTAATCCTTAAAGTGACATCTTTGCTTTTTAACACTTTAAAGAGGTCTTTTGCAGAAGATTTGCCTGATGCAATTCGTCTTTTGATTTCTTGACTGCTGTTTCCATGGGCATTGATTGTGGAGCCAAGTAAAATGAAATCCTTTACAACTTCAATATTTTCTCCATTTATCATGATGTTGCCTATTGGTTCAGTTGTGAGGATTTTTGTTTTCTTTATGTTGAAGTGTAATCCATACTGAAGGCTGTGGTCTTTGATCTTCATCAGTAAGTGCTTCAAGTCCTCTTCACTTTCAGCAAGGTTGTGTCATCTGCATAAGACAGGTTGTTCATGAGTCTTCCTCTAATCTTGATGTTGTGTTCTTCTTCATATAGTCCAGTTTCTCGGATCATTTGTTCAGCATACAAATTAAATAAGTATGGTGAAATGATAAAACCCTGACGCACACCTTTCCTGACTTTAAACCACACAGTATCCCCTTGTTCTATTTGAACAACTGCCTCTTGGTCGAAGTACAGGTTCCTCATGAGCACAATTAAGTGTTCTGGAATTCCCATTCTTCCCAATGTTATCCATAATTTGTTATGATCCACCTATTTGCATAGTCAATAAAACACAGGTAAACATCTTTCTGGTATTCTCTGCTTTCAGCCAAGATCCATTGGACATCAGCAATGATATTCCTTGTTTTTCGTCCTCTTCCAAATCCGGCTTGAATTTCTGTCAGTTCCCTGTCGATGTCCTGCTGCAGTGGCTTTTGAATGATCTTCAGCAAAATTTTACTTGCGTGTGATACTAATGATATTGTACAATAATTTCTGCATTCTGTTGGATCGTCTTTCTTTGGCATGTGTGCAAATATGAGTCTCTTTCAGTCAGTTGGCCAGGCAGCTGTCTTCCAAATTTATTGGCAGAGAAGAATGAGTGGTTCTAGTGCTGCATGTGTTTATTGAAACATCTCAACTGGCATTCTGTCAATTCCTGGAACCTTTTTTTACCAATGTTTTCAGTGCAGCTTGGACCTCTTCCTTCAGTACCGTCAGTTCTTGATCATATGCTATCTCCTGAAATGGTTGAACATTGACCAATTCTTTTTGGTACAGCGACTATATATTCCTTCCATCTTGTTTTCATGCTTCCTGCATCATTTAATATTTTCCTTGTAGAATCCCTCAATATTGCAACTCTCAATATTGCTTGAATTTTTTCTTCAGTTCTTTCAGCTTGAGAAATGCCAAGCGTGTTATTCCCTTTTAGTTTTCTATCTCCAGGTCTTTGCACATGTCATTATAATGCTTTACTTTTTCTTGAGCCGCCCTTTGAAATCTTCTGTTCAGCTCTTTTACTTCATCATTTCTTCCATTCGCTTTAGCTACTCTATGTTTAAGAGCAAGTTTCAGAGTTTCTTTTGACATCCATTTTGGTCTTTTCTTTCCTTCCTGTCTTTTTAATGACCTTTTGCTTTCTTCATGTACGATGTCCTTGATATCATTCCACAACTCGTCTGGTCTCCGGTCATTAATGTTCAATGTGTCAAATCTATTCTTTAGATGATCTCTAAATTAAGGTAGGATAAACTCAAGATTGTACTTTGGCTCTTATGGACTTGTTCTAATTTCCTTCAACTTCAACTTGCATATGAGCAATTGATGATCTGTTCTGCATTTGGCCCCTGGCCTTGTTCTGACTGATGATTTTGAGCTTTTCCATCATCTTTTTCCACAGATGTAGTCGATTTGGTTCCTGTGTTTTCCATCTGGTGAGGTCCACATGTATAGACGCCATTTATGTTGTTGAAAAAAGGTATTTGTTATAAAGAAGTTTTGGTCTTCCAAAACTCTATCATGGGATCTCTGGCATCGTTTCTATCACCAAGGCCGTATTTTCCAACTACCAATTCTCCTTCTGTTTCCAATATTCACATTCCAATGGCAAGTAAGCATCAATGCATCTTGATTGCATATTTGATCAATTTCAGACTGCAGGAGTTGGTAAAAAAATCTTCAATTTCTTCATCCTTGGCCTTAGTGGCTGGTGTGAAAATTTGAATAATAGTTATATTAACTGGTCTTCCTTTTAGGGTTATGGATATTATCCTATCACTGGCAGCATTTTACTTCAGAATAGATCTTGAAATACTCTTTTTGACTATGAACGGGAGCCACTTCCCTTCGATTTGTCATTCCCAGCATAGTATACCATCTGATTGTCGGATTCAAAATGGCCAATATCAGTCCATTTCAGCTCACTAATGCCTAGGAGGAAACCCTGGTGGTGTAGTGGTTAAGAGCTATAGCTGCTAACCAAAAGGTCAGCAGTTCAAATCCACCAGGTGCTCCTTGGAAACCCTATGGGGCAGTTCCTGTCCTTTAGGGTCACTATGAATCGGAACCAACTTGATGGCAACAGGTTTGGGGTTTTTTTGGTTTAATGCTTAGAATATCAATGTTTATGCATTCTACTTCATTTTTGACAACTTCCAATTTTTCTAGATTCATACTTCATACATTCCCAGTTCCAATTATTAATGGATGTTTGCAGCTGTTTCTTCTCATTTTGAGTTGTGCCACATCAGCAAATGAAGGTCCTGAAAGCTTGACTCCATCCACATCAAGGCCACTCTACTTTGTGGAGCCAGATCTTCCCCATTTGTCTTTTGAGTGCCTTCCAACCTGAGGGGCTCATCTTCTGGCAGTATATCAGACAATGTTTCGCTGCTATTCATAAGGTTTTTACTGGTCAATTTTTTTAGAAGTAGACTACCAGGTCCTTCTTCCTAGTCTGTCATACTATGGGAGCTCTGCTGAAACCTGTCCACCAAGAGTGACCTTGCTGGTATCTGAAATACCAGTGGCAATGCTTCCAGTATAACAGCCACACGCAGCACATGACAAACTGACAGAAACGTCGTGGATCAGCAAAATAGTATGTAATATCTCACAAAGTCTTTATGGGCCAATAATAATAATATTTGTGGAATCACGATTAGTGTCACTGATTTCAGTACGCTTTACCCAAAATAGGAGCCCTGGTGTCGCAGTGGTTAAGAACTACTATTGCTAACCAAAGGGTTAGGTGTTTGAATCCACCAGCTGCTCCTTGGAAACCCTATGGGGCAGTTCTACTCTGTCATGTAGGGTCACTATGAGTCAGAACCCACTCAACGGCAATGGGTTTTTTTTTTTTTTTTTGGTTTACTTAAAATAGGCTATTGACCCCATTTTGCCAGTGAGGGTCTTTGACTTTGAGTAATAAATTCATATTCATCCTGTTGGTACTAAGAGCATGCCAAATTAGGTCTCCCAACATAAGATGGTGGCTATGTAAGTTTTAAGGCCAAAACTCCATTTTGAATTAAAAGTAACTTCCGCATTGAGAACGGGGCCTATTACTTCCGTAACTCTCTACTGTACCCCGGGAAAATTACTTGGTAAACAATTTTAGAGAAGAACGTGATTTTGTTTCCTTAAAGGATTTGCTTGCTTAGGAACACTCCCTGTTCAGGAAACCGAGTCCTAACAATTTTCAGAAGAGGTGCTTACTCAAGATAAACCTTAGAATTACGCATGTCCTCCCTGCAATCATGCAAGGAGGGTCTCATGATTGTTTCCAAGACAGATGTACCCAATTTAATTACTTTGTGACTGAAAAAAAATTTTTTTTATAAATGTATGTAATCTCCTACCAATCAGATGGACCCTCACCCAATTTTGTAACCATTACGTAAATGTCAACCAATCACTTAATTTTTACTGAGGTGTCTTATATTTTATTATAAAACTCCTTAAACTGTCTCCTCCTCCTTGGACTACTCAGTTCAGAACCCTCTGGACCTTGTGATCCCTATATTGCAAATTGCCCTGCCTCTCAATAAGCTCTTTACTTTTAATTTCAACCAGATTCTGCCGTTTTCCTCTATGATCGTACCATGGAACAGACGCCTGTATGAGTCCTAAGACTGTGTCCTTCCCACGAATCCCACGGACCAGGTAAGCGCTGTCAGGTTCTCTTTTCATTATGGATGAGGAACAGAATATTGTAGTTATAGTGCATGTGCCCCTCTTCCAGTTCGAGATTCCAGACCGAGCGACTCTCTTTCCATGACAGAACATGTCCATTTCCATACTTGCTGGCGGGCATCAGGAATTATTCCTTTGGTGGGTTGGCAACAAATCAAGACCAGTTAGTATTGCAATCACTGCGAAATTCCGACGCTCTGTCACGTCGCCGTTCGCCAGGCTCCGCCCTCAGCCTCGGGAAAACAGAAAACATGGCGGGGGGCCCCAGGCGATGACGAACTTTCAGCGCCCCTGCGTAGCCCGGGCGTTTAAGCGGCGAACGGGACGTGGAGGCGGGGATTGAAGTGGGCGGTTATGGCTGGAGACCCGGCGCGGCAGCCTTGCGTGAGGCGGGGGCGTGGCCTGCTGCCCGGAGCTGGGCTGTAAGCGAGCTAGAGGCAGGGCCGGTGAACCGGGGGAGGTGAGGCGCGGAACCATTACCTTCCGGCCGGCGACTCCGCGAGTGCCGCCGTTGGTGAGGTTTGTACGGCGTGCGGACCCCGAAGCTGCAGTACTCTCCTCGCCTCCGCACCTCCAGCATTGGCCGCCCCCTTCAACCCTCGGCGTCGCCACTGGCGCTGCTGCCCGACCCCCAGGCCGCTGTGGGCCGCGGAGCTGATGAGGGCGCGGGCCCAGCCGCCGCCTCTGCGGCGTCGCCCTCGTTCCGGAGCGCCCCGAGCCGGAGCAGGCATGACCGCGGAATGAGCGAGGAGCCGCCGCCCGAGCCGGAGAAGGCAGCACGGAAGCCGGAGGCGAGAGCTATGCCGGAGAAGCGCACGGGCGCGCAGGCCGCGGGTGGCAGCTCGGTGAGCTCGGGCGCGGGTCCGGCCGCGTGTGCTCCGGGGCCCCAAGTCAGGGGAAGCTGAGGGTGGAGGGAGTCGTGCGTTGTGGCTGAAGGCCGGGGCCGCGACCCCGGCTCCGAGGCCCGCCTGTTTTTCTGTAGCCGGCCTTGGTGGAGGGAAAGAAGGTCGGAGCGGAACGCGCCGGCTGGCTCTGGGAAAGGCCCTCCTTTTTGGGGGTCGAATTCATCAGTAATACCAGTTTTCCTGGCGACTTCTCATCGTTAGACAAAACTTTAGAATAGGTGGTTTGGTTATTGTTTCAAAAAGCACCACAGATGCGTTAGTTAATGTAAGTAACTGGGTTATTTTAGAATTCTCCATACGTTTGATATTTGATAGAAATGTCATGGTGCAATTTCTGTCCAAGACTACTTAGACCATGTATAGGGAGCCTTTAGAATCAGGCATTTGGCTCTAGACTTTACCAGATAGCAAACCGGGAAGTTGTAGGCTGAGCAGCGCCTAACTGCTTCCTGTCTTCCTCATTCTCGAGTCGGGTCGCAGGCTTGGTCAGGTCGACCAGAAACCAAAACCCGTTGTCGTCCAGTCCGTTCCAACTTATAGCGACCCTATAGGACAGAGTAGAACTGCCCCCAAAGGATTTCCAAGGAGCAGCTGGTGGATTCGAACTGCCGATCTTTTAGTTAGCAGCCAAACGTTTAACTACTGCGCCACCAAGGCCCCTGGTCAGGGATAAGGGCAGAATTTCCGACGAAGCTGCGGCTCCCACGGTCCGGTTGAGGAGCATGTTCAGGCCGGTCTCTTTCTCCAGTTTTACTAGAGTTCGGGTGAGTTTTGACAGCAGTACAGGAAAACCCTGATTTAATTGGCCTGAATTCGGCGGAACAGGCCTTGTCAGCGTCACTTTGGTTCATATGGTGGAATACTAAGCAAATAGAGCCTGTATTTGTCATTTCTGCAAGGCCCAAGTTTAAAAAGGAATTTTTCCCTTTTTGGTCTATTTAGCACGTGAAATATAGTAGAAAACGTTACAATTTGAAATTGACATGGAAATTTAGTTTATGTATCCGGTTCTGCTTTTAGTTAAACATGTGCATACTTGGTAATGGGAATCCCCATTAGTAGAGTTGGGAGACTGAGTGAAGTAGAAGGAGCAGTAAGTAGAATGGAGCCAACAGAGCTGATTTTTAGTCCTGGTTCTACCAGAACCTATGTGCACTCTGAGCAGGGTATCCACATAGTCTTGCCACTCGGTACCTAATCTGTAAAACAAGGGCTTTGTAATGTTGAAGGCCCCTCCCAGCACGAATGACTCCTTGTTTTTTTGTGTTTTTTTTTTAAATTGGGGTCCCCTTATTTCAAGGACAACATTTCTGTAATATGGTAAGCTTATCTTGGCAGAGGGAGAGAAATGCTGTAGAATCGGCTTCTCTCGTTATGTAAAAAGTAGAGTTGTCATCTTCCTTCCCCCTAAACAAAACAAAACCACCAGCTTCTCCTGTCTTCTTTGAATTGATAGACAGTAATTACTAAGCAGTAGACAAGTTAGTAACCTGAGAGGTAGCCTCCCATCCCTTCCTATACCTACAACATCCAGCTAAGTCCGGCTAAGTTTAACACATAAAAATTTTAGATTGTTAGGCTTTGCACTGCATTCCTTAAGTTGACTTCCTCAGCATTTTTGACCTAGACTTGACCATCTCATTTTAGACCCTTGCCCTACCTCAACTTCAGTCTGCCCTCCACATTGCTGATATATTCATGTAATATGTAAATATGATCATTACTGCTGACCTCAAAATTTTTTCATTGGCTCCCCGTGGCTTACAGGATAATAAAGAAACTGGCAGGTCAGAGCATTACAGCATAGTGATTAGGTGACCTAGCTTGGAATCACAGTTCCCACCTCATATTAATTGTGTAACTTTGGGCAATTTACCTAACCTCTTTGAATTAATAATCAGGCTTCCAGATAACAATCTAGTACTTACTAGTAAGTACTTGATAAACATTAGCTATTTTTGTGATTCTGCTATCCATCTGTCCGTTTGTCATACTGTGGTGGCTTTCATGTTGCTGTGATGCTGTGCGCTCTGCCATCTATATATCAGATACCAGCAGGGTCTCTTATAGTGGACAGGTTTCAACGGAGCTTCCAGACTAATATAGACTAGGAAGAAAGGCTTGGCAATCTACTTCCAAAAATTAGCCATCAAAAACCTTATGGATTACAACAGAATATTGTCCCATATACTGCTGGAAGGTGAGCCCCCTACATTGGAAGGCACTCAAAATACTCATTGGCTGCAACAGTGGACTTGAACATACCAACAGTCATGAAGATGGTGCAGGACCAGGCAGTGTTTCATTCTGTTGTACATGGATCAATATTTCTCAATATTTTTTGCATAGATGATTGAATGGTTAGAATGTTTAGGTGATCCCCAGACTGCAGTAAAAGTGTTCAGTTCTCCCGTTTCCTAATCTATGTAGGCACTAGACCCCAACCTTAAAAGTTGTTAATTTTATGTGTTATTAGAGCAAGAAGTTTTGAGGGATGTTTACTCACAGAAACCTGTCTTTATTTCCTGATTTCTTCTCCGTTGGCTCCTGATGCTAATCTGCTAATTTTGGCCACCTGTAGATTTCCTGCCCAGTCTTCTCTTATCTCTGAGGGTGTAGCATGGAGTTAGTATTGATTAAGTTGTAAGGAATGCTGAGAAAGAGTTTCCTTGGTGCTTGCTAAATGCTCAGTGAGATGACTGGCATGGGCAGATGGCAGAGTTCAGGCACCAGTGCTTTTCTGAGTATGTGGAAATTGGCAGTTTGTGTCATATCCCAAAAAAACAAAAACAGCATGTTACCGTTGAGTTGATTTCCGAGTCATCGGCAACCCCACGTGTGTTACAGAGCAGAACTGCTGCATAGGGTTTTCTTGGCTGTAATCTTTACAGAAGCAGATAACCAAGCCTTTCTTCCATGGTGCCACTGGGTGGGTTCAAACCACCAACCTTTAGGTTAGTTTTCGAGTGCAAACCATTTGCACCACCGAGGGACTTTTTGTCATATGCCAGTGACCCAAAGTAAGCGTTTTTCCTGCTTGCATTTTCTTTCTAGGATCACTTCTACACTTCCAGGTGCTGTGTTATAGCCCGTGTGACTTGATTTCATTTCAATCTTGAGATTTCCTTGTAAGTTGTTTCCAGTGGCACTCATCGTTTCAGGTTCTTAGATGAAACAGTCCATGTACAGGGCATTAGCTGACAACTTTTTTCTAACATGTTTAATATTGGCACAAAGAGTATTGGCCTGAAAAATAGAAGAGAATCAAGGATTTACTCCAAGATATGACTGCCATCTAGAAAAGGGAGATGTGTGAGTTAAAAGAAGTTCTTGCTCTGTTCTCCCTAACTGCGTGTGCACATACTTTGAGGTATCTTATCAGAATTATTTGCATATCCTAGCAGATTTTCTGTGTCACTGAGTCTTCACACCCTGGTAGAGGAAGAGTGCTTGGACATCGAGTGAGTATTAAAGATTTGCTGCAAAGGAAAACGCACGGGCAGAGCCAAGGTTTTTTTTGGTGAAAATATACACAGCAAAACCTATTCCCGTTCCACAGTTTCTAGACATAATGAACAGTGACATTGGTTACATTCTTCACATGGTGTCAACATTCTCTTTTCTATTCTAGTTGTTTCACTTCCATGTACTTAATCTCCTCATATACGCTTTAAAATAGATGTTGACCATTTGGTCTTATACTTTTTTTTTTTAAAGAAACGCAGTACTAAAGGGTGACACTCTTTACTCTCTGGGCTAAACTGTCACTTAGTTTAAAGGTGACTTCGGAAGTTAGTTTCAATTTAAGGTTTGCAGAGCAACTCAGGGCTGTAGTCTTGGGGACCAGTAAGTCTTGATTCTTTTAAGAATTTGAAGTTCTGTACCACATTTTTATTAAGATTGTTCTCTTGTGTTCCTGATCAGAATGTTCGGTAGTGGTAGCCAGGCACCGTCTAGTTCTTGTGGGCTCAAGGAGGAGGTGGTAGTTCAGGTAGACGTACTGTAGTCCAGTTGCTTCTCTGGTTCTTTGGTTTCCTTCTTTCTTTTGTTTCAGGCGAATAAAAATGAATAGTTGTATCTTAGATGACTGCTTTTAAGCTTTTAATACTCTAGACACTACTTACCATACTGGGAAGGTAGAAAATAAACTTTAAGAACTATATTATGCCAGTTGACTGGATTGTCCCACGAGACCATGGCCCCAAGCCCCCAAACCAAGAAAACTAATCTCATGAGGTGATTGGTTATGCCTGATTACTGTAAAACCTGCGAAAGCTGGAACCTGTGTAAGGCAGAAACCTGTCAGAGAAGGAAAACTCAAATATTTTCCATTAAAACGAGTGATAGAAAAGTGGTAAGACTGCGCTCTGTCAAAGGTGGGAAAACAAGGCAGTCCTGTTGCGTTCCGGCTCTCGCAGGTTTCGCTGTAGTATCGGCATCTGTAGGCCCCTTCCCTTTTTTGGTGGTTGTTATTGTTGGAAAACCATACACAATGTAGCATTTTTCCCATTCATCCCTTTTCCCCTAGGTACAGCTTATTGACATCAGTTTCATCAGTCATGCCATGCAAACTTCACCTGCCTTTCCAATTTCTGTTAACAAAAAGTGACTACTACCTAGGGAGTACTCCTCCCTCTCCCTCCACCCTCCATCCCTGGTAACTACTCATGAACATAAGTTTCTGTATATTTACTTATTCATGTCATTTGATAAAAGTGAGAGCTTATTTTATATATATATTTATATATATTTATATATATATTTATATATTTGTGATTGACTTATTTCACTCAACATAACGTCCTCCAGTTTCATCCACGTTCCAAGATGTTTTGGAAACCCATTTTTCTTTATTGCTGAGTACTATTCCATTGTGTGTATGTACCACATTTTATCTATCCATTCATCCATTGATGGGCAGTTAGGTTGTTTCCATCTTT